TGGTAACACTAGCAACATGCTCACAATGACAATGCAAGCATGCTGGTGTTTAGTAGATGTAATGGTCTCTGAACCACAAATGTGAAACTCGTGGTAGCGCCAGAGGAAAAGTCAGGATTACAGACAGATGAGAAAAGTCTAAGAATCTTCATTCTGTTTGAGGTGATTATACTTGAAAAAAGCGACAGCACGTTTATGTTTATATATGTTGAATTAAAAGCTTTTGATTAAAGCACTTTCCCCCCATACCTTCATACAGAGAAACCCCATAGAAGCATCTCTATTGTCTCACTAATGATGCCAATATATAACTAGATGACTGAGTGCAATGCAGCTGTATATTTATTTGTATCGTCACCTTGCTAACGCTCTCTGAGGAGTGCTGAAGTATGTATCTCCCTCTGTCTGTCTGTCTGGTGACGATAGGAGTCCGTGTGGAATATAGCTGGTAAGAGTTATATTCTTTGTGCACTCAACCACTTACTTAAGCTGACTTAATAATAATGTAAGTAATTACCATCAATAATTCAGGATATGACCTCTAATTATTCAACGGCTGTAAATGATTCACACGGGCTTGGTGCCAAATCAAAGTCAACGTAAAAATAGAAAAATGATCAGATATTTTATTCATTGCAAGTCCACATATAGAAACATTAAATGCACTGACCCAGAGAGGATTTGCGGCGCTTTTTCAGCGACAGCCTGCTCCACATTCACACACTAATGTGCTTCCACACTTGGTAGCTTTCCAGTACATCAACAACTGATGCACTGCTGGTGACGGAGCAACTAAACCAGAGCTGGAAGGGCTTCAGCTCTCTGATCCAAGCCACTTTTAAAATGATAAAGGAGTGTTGCCCGCAAACCAACCAGCAGATTTTCCTCACAGAGTCCAAGGCTTTAACAGTGACTGGATGCTACCTGTTGGGAGTATAGCGACTCGTATGGATTGCATGCTCTGAATGCATTTGTACTTCCTTCCTCTCTCTACAATTTGTAAGTCTCACAGACTACAAGCGATGAGCTCTTCTTTGGAAAACACTGAGGTCATGTCTACCGAATCTGCAAGATGCCAAATGATCTTTGAACATCAAGTATTTAACAAGAAGTGATTCACAATAATAAAAATCCAGGAGGGATTTGTTTTTTTCTAACCACAACCATATGGTGACTTTAAAGGGTCCTTTCTAAACACGTTTTTATTTATGAGCCAAGAGGAAGGGTGATGACTTCAGACATTAGATATTAGAGGTCAGAAGTCAAAAAGTAATCTTTTGTTAGATTTATTCTCCACAACTTTAAAGAACTAGATCAGTTAGTAGTTAAAGGGTCAGTTCACCCAACTTATGAAGAAACATAGTGTATCACTTGCTCCTGGTGATTTGTCACTGTTTTGGTTGTTCCTTTAAAAAATTACTATTATTTAAAAATGTTAACATCAATAATCATTGTCCTTATTAATCTGGATAATCCACAAAACACATACTTTTTTTAAAAGACTAGAAAGTAATTACAAAACAAAATTCCGTCCACCTCCATTGAATTTGGCAGAAACCGCAGAGACAGATATCTAAAATCTTGGACAGACAAAATGAAAGCTGCTTGGCGAGACACAGCTGGAGATAACTAAGATTTCTTTTCTTTTAAATTTGTGTGAACCGACCCTTTAAATTTGCTGTGTCAACACGAGTTAAAAAAAATACAAAAACATCAATACTGGACGATTTGTTTACTGCAATACCTGCACATGGCAACCACGGTATAGTTAACCTAAAGGAAAGATTGTGGTTCTAGAAAAAAATGTATTTAAAGATATATGGCAATGTTTAGTAAGCTAAGTAACGGTACAGTACGGTAATATTGTGTGTTACACAAAATGACATGTATGTCAACGTGTGATGAACAAAAACAAACACAAGCCAGCTGCCCAAGAAGAATAACACAACATGATCCTGCCCTTATCAGACGTCATACAGCCCATCCGATAACACACACAAGATATGAGCCATGTCATATTTGTAAGACGGTGTGTCATGTGTCCTCTATGTGGTCTGTGGTTAACCTTGAACAGCAGCCTGGGCGGTGAGTTCAATGTGTCTTCAGCGTATGTAGCGATGACGAGACGTGCACGCCTGGAAGTGGTTCACTGAGTTTGTACCCAAGAGGACACCTTTCCTGATCCCCAGACTTTTATCCACTCCTTCCATCTGGAAAGCGCTTTCTCATTTATTTTCCCCTTCTGATGTTTCTCACAAACATCACATCCTCCCCACCCACCCACCCCCCCCCCCCCCCCCCC